GTGTGTGTGTGTGTGTGTGTGTGTGTGTGTGTGTGTGTGTGTGTGTGTGTGAAGTAGATAAAGCAGAACAATGTAGAATGCTTTTGAACCATCTTCAAACGTAACAGTGTGGTGACGATCAAGAGTCAATGTCGAGGTCATCTAAGCGGCTTTCTTTTAGTATGGCAGAGAGAATCGCATCGCCATTGTAATGGTCATCTGGTGGTGAATTAGACAGTACAAGACAGACTAAAAATCAAAACAACCCAGAGAGAAAGTATTATAAAGAAGTAAGGAACAAATAGTGGCGCCCCTCAACCGTCCAATATCTGTGCCGCACGACCTGGATCTTCACTTTGTGGATAATTTATTGTTATCAAGTATGTCATCTTTCTGCTGGGATGTTGCACACCTCTCAGCCCCGGTTGGTCCCGATTTCATTTGATCTAAATTGTGTCGGTGAGGCGTAAAACAGCTACAATGCATTATTTTACTTCATTCAAAATCATTCAGTAGCGAGTGAGTGCAGATGGAAAAGGTGGTAAAAGCTGAAAAGGCGCAAACGATCAGTACCAAAGAGTAAACAAGTATGACATGCGTGCATTACCCGGATAGCTCGCTGTCCCGTTTTGTTTTGATTTGATCTGTTCTTTCCATTTAAAGGGGAAGCGTACATGTACAATTTATGGGCGGACGGTATTCGAAATTTGGGCCACTGATGACGTCAAAAGGCGGCAATCGACCCACGGGACTTGAAAAGACCAAACAGTGACAAAATGACAGTGCGACATTTCAGTGACAGTCACATGCTCTTCCTGCCTCAAGGGCGCCATTCGCATAAAATCACAAGATGTACCAAGCTTCTTGGGTAGCTTTTTCAAATCTGTTTGCATGTTTTATGTAAAGTATTTGTCCGATTCCCAAATTGTTCCGAAAATTATAAACTAGATTTCTATTTTTGCGGAATTGTTGTGAAAGGGGTTACAATTTTTAACGAGTTTTCTACTTATGCAGAACAATTAAAATGGTGTTGGTTTTGTGGTAGTGGTGCTGGTGGTAGTGCTCGGCGATCGGTAAAGATAATTTCGGAAGTTTTTTTTGGGTTTTTTTATTTTTGGCTTACGGGGCAGACATAAATAACGGCTGCTGTGGGGTTGATATTGTTGCTACTGCTGATGTTGCTGCCTTGTTTTACTATAGCCGATATAGGGGGCGAGGAGAGGGGGGTGTGTGTAAGGTTGAGTTGTTAGAAGTGGGCGGGCGGGCGAGATAACAGCCACATTTCGCGAGGACAAAAGGGTGGGGAGGAGATAGCAACATAGAACAACAAAAGGGATAAGTATTATAAGAGTGCGCCTTCTAACTACATGTATAAACAGGTGGAAGAAGCAGACCACACCAGAGCGGCCACCCACAACAAACAGAGGAGCATGAGCAATGTTTATCAATTCGCTGTCCCGAGCCCTCTCAAAAGACAAGCGAACCTAGAGCAGAACAGACGGAAAAAGAGCGAGCCGGCGCGAGCAATGGCGAGCCAGAGCGAATAAGAACGAATGCGGACAAAGAAAGCCACTGAGAACGAATAAGCGAATAAAAGTGATCGGGGACAAATTTTAAAGAGACCCAACGAGGGTACAAGATGACAAATGAGTGCGAACTGAGCCAATCTTCTCGCAAGAGGCGGCGGCAGTCGGTTTATCACCTATGGAGTGGCCACTTTACCCGGGGTATCACAGGGACGAAAAAGACAGGAAGCAGACAAAACACTTCATTGCTTGGCACAGGCGATTTTTACATTTTCTTTTCAATAAAAAAAAAATTCAACCTTAACGTAAATACTTTTTTCGTTTCGTTTTATTATAAAGTTTTGTTTGTTGGTTTGTTTGTTTTAATTATTGTTTGTTTATTTTGGACGGTGGTTTGATTGCTTTTGTTTTTGGCTATTTTGTTTCATGAGTGAGTTTGTTTTTTTCTCTTCGGGGAGGGCGAGAGAGAAAAATAAAAGAGACAGAAATATTTAAAAAAAAGAAAAAGATAGAGAGAGACAGGGGGGGGGGGGAGGGGGGAGAGAAAGAGATGGAGGGGGGGGGGGCATTATATTCTATTAGCGCCTCTTGGAATTGTACAAAGTTATGGGAAAAGAACACCATTTTTCCGAGTTGTCCACATCTCTGTGTCACTTACACTGTACGAGTAATAAGAAAAGGTAAAGGATAGATAGGTGAGAGCGGTGGCTACGATTGTTTGTTGGGTCTTTCCTTTACCTACAGGATAGTGATTTTAACATTTGTAATTGTGATGTTTCTCGCCCGCTGAAAGCAAACAGTAAATAACTCGGGGAGGGGGGGGGGAGGGCTGTGTCGACGCTGCCTCTCAAGTGAAAAGTGAA